ACGGAAGGACCAAAAAGGGGTCGGATTTTGAAATTTAGGGACTAAAAAGGGGATTTTTTTGGTACAGGGACTAAAAAGGGGCTTTTTCCTATAGTAGAGGGACCAAAAAAGGTATATAACCTTTTTTATTTTTAGTTTGCACTTTCCAATTCTGTAATAAGAAATGCATTTCTTTTCTTTTTTCTTTTTATTTTTGGTTTGCAATTTGCCATTCTGTGATAAGAAATGCATTTCTTTTCTACATCTTAGATCATTTTGTAATCTTGCACTTTGAGCCAATCGTTGGCTACATCTGTCACTCTATCTTATAATTTATTGCTTGTTTCTTTTTGCTTTTGTATCAGATTTAATATTGATGAATCTCACCATTATTTTACTCTCTAATGCCATTCACATTTTTGTTCCTAGCTAAATTTGATTGGATTATGGATAAACCTAGTATGTTAGCTACCTTTCACAGCCATCTGCAGAATTTAATTATTTATTTAGATAAAAAAGAAAGGATAAACCCGTATTTTGGTCCTTGAACTATTGTACGGACCCCCGATTTGGTCCCTGAACTAAAGAAATCCCTAATTTGGTCCTTGAACTATTGTACGGACCCTTGAGTTGGTCCCTAAACTATTGTACGGACCCCCGAGTTAGTCCCTAAACTATTATACGGATCCCTAATTTGATCCCTATTGTTTACCAATTTAGCCCCAACTTAGTCCTTCTGTTAAATAATAGCTTAGAGACCAAATTGAGGCGAAATTGTAAACAGTAAGGACCAAATTGGGGATCCGTACAATAGTTTAAGGACCAACTTAGGCCAAATTATAAACAATGGGGACCAAATCAAGGGTCTGTACAATAGTTTAAGGATCAAATCAGGGATTTCTTTAGTTGAAGGACCAAATCGGGGGTCCGTACAATAGTTCAGGGACCAAAATGGGGATTTAACCAAAAAGAAAAGAAAAGATAATAGAAAAATATAATTCTTCTTCACTTCCTTTCTCTTTATTTCTCACAACTTAAATATAAATAAATTTGAGCTCATTTTAATAATTCATTAAAAAAATCAAATTTCTAAGATTAAAAAAGTTAAAGAAAAAAACAGGCAGTACCAGTCTTCCCTAGTTTGAAAGCACTAATTTTATTAATGAACAAATGCCGAACATGAATTTTGAAACTTAGGATCAACCGATCTTAGACTTGACTCATTTAAACCGTTAGTTAAAAACCTCAAGTTATGAATTTGTCCAGTTTCTCTTTACTTTATTCTTTTCAACCAAAATTGAAATTGACTCATAAATTACATTTAAATTTTGTGATTCGATAATATATATCTCATCATAAAGTATACTCTCAGCTCTAGACCCAAAAATTGTAATCCATTCAAAAAAAAAAAAAAACCCCAAAAATTGAGAGTTGGATTGAAATTGTAAAATAAATTTAACTACTAAATTAGATGTTATTCCATAAATTTAAATATTCATAAAAAAAATTCCATTTAAATAAAGAGATAGCACCAACGGTATAAAAGGGTACTGATATAGAAGGTAGAGATATAAATAATTTTTTATACAATTTTTATGTATTATTAAATTAATATTTACACTCAATATAAGAAATTTTAAATAA